ACAGTGAGGGTTTGTAAGATCGAGTGATACCCACAATTAACTCTGAGAATAGACGCAAAATAGGGAGAGACAAATCCAACGGATCAAGATTTTGCTTTGATACCAAATGATGTAGGACAAGAAGGCTAGAAATCAGATAAAAGAAAGAGAAGGAGTAGAACGGATTTACCCCATGCTCGCAAGAATAAGTCAAGAAACACAGAAATCTCTAGAGAGAATACTCATTCTTATTTGTAATCTCTTTCTAATAAAATAGTACGAATACATCAATATTTATAGGTCAGTCTCCTACTAAAATAAAAATTACTATTTCTAATAAAATTCTAAAATAGTTTCATAATCAAACTCTCAATGCCAATATTACTAAAACTCTATAATAATTTTCTAGTCAGCTCGGATTAATACTACTGACCAAACACATATTTCCTAACTAATATAATATATTAAAACAATATAAAATCCATTCTTCAATTAAACTCATTCAATCTCTTTTCTATCTCTATCATATGTGATACTTAGATTAAAAATAATGATCTGGATAAAAAAATAATGATAAAATGTTTAACACAAAAACAGGTACCGAAGATTTGCTGCAAGTTGGTTTATCTTTCACATAATCACAGGATATTGCCTAGTACTTACATTGTAAACCTAGTGAGTCAGATTATGTATTCTCCCCGGTCATCCCATTTCAAGGCAGCCTTTAGAATTTTTTTGATATTTGAAGCTGGTAACTGGGATTGGTCTTTCGTATTGTAGATACACCCATTTGAGGTTGGAATCATATTAGATGTACCTAGGGCATGATCACTCACAAACAAACAGTCTAGTTATGTGTATGTACCTTTGTTGGAAGCAACGTGAGGTGTGAGCCTGAGGTTCCGAATTGTGTCACATGGGTTTGGGTTGGCCCCATTCAATACAATGAGACAGTGATAGCAGAATTGCCATCAATATTGCATATACCTAGTTCAACATGATTGCTCCAATATATTGAAGATATACATTTTATTAAAAAGAAGCTAAGCTCTAGTCTAATTTGCACTCGTCTTTTGAAGACCAAGGAACAGTTGGCTGATGTCTTGATGATATCTTGATCATAGGGGTGTCAAGTAAGGTGTTTCATATCATGTTATGCAACAACTGAAGGGGAGTGTCAGATATCTACAAATTAGAACAATGGGTGTTCTTGTAATTTGCCTAATATTTGACAAATTAGAACAATGGGTGTTCTTGTATTTCCTAATATCCCTAAAACAATAAGTATAGAAGAGGATAGGAATGAAATATCAATTTTGGCACTCTTTTATTCTCTTTCTTCCTCTTTTTTCTTCACAAAACATAAAACTGTGACAGTTATATTTCCATTATTACATGGTACGCAGACATATTCGAAAACAAATAAATGTATAGCGAACTAAAAGTATGAGAAAACTCCGAGCATTGAGGAAAATAAGTAAACTAGACCTTACCGAAAGCGTATGACACACTAAAACTTTGAAGTAAATTGAGATTGTAATATGGCGTATGAAACAAAATTATTATTCGAGGCACATGCAATTGATCTAGTTATTCTAAGCAACCTTTTCATGCCACGAACTCTTTCCCAGAGCAAAAGCTGAGCTGTCACAGAACCTGTGAACTATTACTTTCTGACTATCATATTGTAGCTTTACCATGCAACAATAAGGCATAACGAAAGTCCTCAATTGTTACCAAGTTCTTGCTTGATATTCCTTCCTTTAGGAGGCGAGGATCATCCAATACATCATGACTGCTCTTTATCTTAGTGTTGAAAGCTGCCAGTTCCTTCTCCTCTTCAATTGCTTCTTCTCCAAATGAGAGCAAGTTCACATTTCTGTAAATGGAAAACATAATAAACATAAATCAATAATGACACGATATACTTTGAGTCTCTGACATTTTCTGGAACTTTGTTATTTACCAAGAGACAATAGAATAAATCTCACTTTTTAACTTTCTTCTTTGGATCTCTCGTGTCTGTATCAACTCTAGATGAGGGCAAAGACCTTGCAGATGCTACTCTTGGAATAATATCATCAAAAGGGTTCCACAGTACCTAAAACAGGGATTTAGACATGGAACCAACCAATGAAACTGTCTTCCTCAATTATAATTCTAGAATTGTGTAAGGAAAGGAGATTCATGAAGGTTGAACACATATAGAACCCATAAGCAGATATTGTTTGATATCTTCTTTTAAATTTGTTAAGAGTATTAGAGTATTATTATGTGTAAATACTAGGTTGTAATAAGTATACCATATAGAGGGTATACTCGTCCTCTGTATGAGTACAAGATAACTATAAATACAAGATGTTTGTGAGAGTAGGTTATGTTTTTGACCACTCTTTGTTTCTCTAATACCATGTTATGTTAACTCTCTAAACTTAATATGGTATCAGAGCTAATGGACATCTTAAGGTGAAGGGTTTTGCAGATGCTAGTTGAGTTGTCTCTCCTTCCGAATGGAGATCAACCACCAGTTACTATACTTTCTTGGGAGGTAACGTTGTCTCATGAAAAAGTAAGAAACAAACAATGATAGCAAGATCTAGAGCTGAGGCTGAGTATAGAGTAGTTACTACACTTTATTCGGAAAATTAGCTATTCAGTTCAGTCTCCTTTACAATTATTTTGTGATAATCAAGCAACTATCCATATCGCTGTCAATCCAGTATGTCAAGAGAAAATTAAACATATTGAGGTTGATTGTCACTTTATTCGAGACAAGATAATTGTTGGGGATATTACAACTCCTTTTGTGAGATCGGAGGATCAACTTGCAGATACGTTCACTAAAGTATTGAGTCGTACTCATCACAACCATCTATTCCAAGATTGGATTATATAATATATATAGTCTAACTTAAGGGAGAGTGCTAAGAACATTAGAATATTATTATATGTAAATACTAGGTTATAATAAGTATATCAAATAGAGGGTATACTCGTCCTTTGTATGAAAACAAGATAACTATAAATACAAGATGTTTGTGAGATGTAGGTTATGTTTTTTACCACTTTTTGTTTCTCTAATATTGTGTTATGTTAACTCTCTAAACTTAACAATAATATTGGTTATAATAAGTAAGTGTACGATTAATACTATAATTACCCTCCTTAATATCTATTTGATATAAAGAAGAAGGTGTAGGGCAACATATAGAATAATACACTATTTTAACAAACTCTCTTTTCCCCTGTCCTTTTTCTTCTTCCTCTTTTCTCAGAAAATCTAATATCTCATACTATTTAGTGTCAACTTGGTAGCAGAGCAACGATCTTAATTAAAAAGGATACAAAAACAGTTGTTAGAGTTGTTAACATCATCATCGGTGTGAATTTTCCGACGATCAGTTCTCATGGCTGGTTCGACTCTCTATGCCAGTGATTATGTGATTTTTGAAAAAAAAATTGAAGTAATCTAAATCATGTTTTCTATTTTCAAATAATTTTTAAATTTTTCGGTCTCTATTTATCAATCTAGCAATTGCACAAGATCTAGATCTTGTTTGTGCTTCGAATTACACTTGAGCGACCAAGTCCCAAAGATCTTCTTCAATGTGACCCCTTCTGGTTTTTGGGTGGTTTTTGGCCTTTTGTGCGCAACGGGGAGAAAAGTGACTGATTTTGGCCTACCGTCCACTGTTTCACCTTCATTTTGCTCTGTCCTGTCTTTGGGCAAATTCGGTGTGATTGTTTGGTGTTGGCTTGTTTACCTTAGGCTATTTATCCACTATTGTGTTTTTGTAAACTATTGATGGAATCTGAATTTGATTTGTTCCTACTTGGGTGACTGGTTGATTATGGCGACCTTTAATGATACCAAAGTTCCTCCAATGGATGATCAAGTTAGACAAATTACATATGTGAAACTGAATGGTAGTAATAATCATTGATGGTCCCATGCTAGTAAAGTTTTTCTACGAGCAAAAAATAAAATCAAGTATTTAACTGATACTCCTCCAAATTCTAACTAGAAAAATTTTGATGGTCGAAGAAAACAAAAATTCTTTTGTGATGATATGGTTGTGGGCCTTGTGGCTCAGAATGGAACTGTACATGGTGTCTAATGTTCAATTTCATGACACAACTAATAAGATCTAAGACTCTCGAACATAATGCATTTGCAGATGGATTCATGAGATTTTTGAGCGGTCATTTAATACCAAGTAAGGTGATAAGTCTCGCTGAACATTATGGTTTTTTGAAAAGTTTGTGGGAAAAGCTTATATTATATCAGCCATTCAGCGTAGATTTAGAAGAATAATGACACCAACAGGAAAAAATTTTGGTTGTTTTGTTCTTGTCAAGCCTTAACTTTAAGTATTGCGTGTTAAAGACCATGTTTTGACCAGTGAAAAACTTTCAACTGCTGCTAATGATTATTCTTGTCTTCAACGTGCTTCTCTTAATCATGAGATTTCTTCAACTTCATAGGATACCTCTGCTTTAATATCTAGTGAATGTACTCGTCGGGTGGTTGTAAGGGTGGTGGGGGTGGTGGTGATAGGAGTCGTCTCACCCAAGGTGGCAATTGAGGTGGTCGGGCTACTAGTCATGGCGGTCGTGGTGGTCATAGTGGTTATGGTAATAGTTCCAAGTGAAAATGTTCTTATTGTGGTGACACGAGTCATATTGAGGATTATTGTTGGTATAAGTATGGAAAATCGACATATGCTAACCAGGTTTCCGATGATTCAACTCCTCACGTACATCAACCACATACTGATGTTCCTACTTCATCTACTTCAAATTCTCACGCTTATCTTACTTCTCAACTCAGTTACCTCATAACAATCACCTTCACTTTCCCCCCAATTGTCTACTTCTATTGCCAAATTGGCTAGTGTAGGTAATTCTGCACAAGTTCACCAGTATGGGTTATTGATTCATGATTGAATGCTCCCATGTCTAGTACCTCACTGTCTTTTAATTTGTGTCCTTCTACGTATTGTCTTAATTGATGGTTCTTTTAGACCGGTCCGTGGGACTTGTGATCTCCATCTAACTCGTCTATGCCCTTTAACATTTAGTTTATTTGTTCCCCATTTTCCCTATAACTTGTTATATGTGAGTTAGTTAACTAAATAGTTACAGTGTTTAGTGACATCTATTCCGTCTTTTTGTGTTTTTTAGGACCTCTGAATGAAGGTGATTGGTTTGGGGCATGAGCAGAATGGTCTTTACTCTTTACTACTTGGATTCAAGATATTATGTTCCCGCATTGAGTGCTATCGTGTCTCCTTACTATTGGCACTTTCGATTGGATCATCCTTTGGTGTAGAAAGCTACAACAAGTTATTCCTAATTTGAGTCTTTTTTTATTAGAATGTGGGGCTTGTTAATTAGGCAAGCATCACCGTAGTTTTTTTTTCTAGTAGTTCTAAATGTCATCAGTCTAATCCTTTTGACTTTGTTCAACCAGGCATTTGGGGTTCTGCAAAATAAAAAGTAGTGGCCTTCAGTATTTTGTGATCTTTGTTGATGACTTTTCTCATATAACTTGGTTGTTTCTTATGAAAGATCATTCTGAATTGCCTAAGATTTTTGTTACCTTTTATAATAAGATTCTAGTTCGGTTTTGATAAATGTATTTAAGTTTTTTCGTTTCATAATACTCTAAAAAATATTCAATCATTCATGAATATTTTTTGTGGTGACCATGGTATCACACATCAAACTGCCTGTCCACATACATCCTAGCAGAATGGCACTGCCAAACATAAACATCATCGAGCACTTTAATTTTTAACACACATGGTCCAAAATCCTATTGTGCTGATGTTGTTGATTTAGCTTATTAATCGCATGCCCTCCTCCATTTTGGCCAACAAATCTCCTTTCTCTGTGTTTTATTCTAATAAACTACCATTTAGTCTCATTGCCCGTGTTTTTGGTTGTATTGCATTTGTCAATCTTCTTGGTCTAGGGTATGACAAATTCTTACCTCGCTCGATCAAGTGTTTCTTTCTAAGATATTCTCATCCTCGGAAAAATTATCGTTACTATGATCGTATTTCTCAACAATATTATGTTGGTATTGATGTTATCTTTTTCGAGTCATCTTCTATAGGTTTGGTGTCAGGACATAATCTTTCTCCAAATTTGGTCTCTTCTAGCTCTCGTTGCCTACACTCCTAGATTACAGGTCCTCTTCCTCTTCATCGTCTGCTCTTCTACGGCAGGTTTACCATTATTCCACAAACAAAAAGGCTTTTCCATATGGTCCAGCTCCATAGCAAATTGGCTAATAATTCTCCAGCAGTCTAGGCTTCTGAGTCGTCCACCATCTTACCTTCTTCTGATTTACCTATTGCATTGAAAAAGGTACTTGTAGTTATACACAACATACCATTTCTAATTTTGTCTCTTTTCATTGACATTCTTCATCTTTTCATTGTGTTGCATCATCCTTATCTTTTGTGTTTGTTTCTAGTTCCTTCGAACAGGCATTGGCATCTCATAAGTGAAAATAGGTTATAGATAAGGAAATGCAAGCTCTTCATGCGAATTAGACATTTACTCCTCTTCCTTCTAGTAATGTTAGTTGTCGTTAGGCTTACACTGTAAAATATCCAAATGGTTCTATCAAGCCTTTGAAGGCACAATTGGTTTTCAAAGGATACAACTAGAAATATAGTGTGGATTACATTGAGACATTTTCTCTAGTTACTCGTCTAAACACTGTTAAAAGTGTTTCTTTCTGTAGCAGTTAGTTTTGATTAACCTTTGTATCAATTAGATACAAATCATGTTTTTTTTTACATGGAAATCTACACAAGGAAGTATATATGGTTAAGCCTCTAACATGTATTACTTTTGGGAAGGAACAATTAGTGTGTCGTACAAAGAAAATACTATATAGCTTGATACGTCACCACGTGCTTAGTTTGATAAATTCAATATTATTGTACTTGAGTATGGATTTAATCGTTTTACTTCAGATCATTCTGTTTTCATACGTTGTTTTTCCATAGGTGTTATTAATCTCATTGTATATGTCGTTGACATTATTATCCATGATAATGACTCAAATGGTACTGCCCACTTTAAGAACCATTAAGGAAAGCAATTTAACACCAAAGATTTAGGTCTCCTTTGATACTTTCTTGAGATTGAGATCGCCCGATCTAAAAAAAGTATCAATTTCCCCCAAGGGAAGTAGCTATTGGATTTACTATCTGAAACTGATACTCTGGTGCATGTCTAGTTGATACCCCCATGGATTCTACTGATGCGGAGAGTAAAGCCTTGTTTTTTAGGACACAGGACATTATCGGAGATTCGTTGGTAAGCTAATTTGTTTTACAATTACATGTCTCGGTATTACATATGTTATTGATGTGGTGAGCTAGTTTATGCACGCTCCTCATAAGCCTCATTGGGAGGCAATCTGCCGCATTTTTGGTTTCTAAGGAGTACTGGACAAAGGGTTGTTATATCCTTATCATCATCCATGACTATTATTGAATTTTTTTTTTTTTATGATGACTTAACGGGTAATTGTATTGATAGACGATCTACTCATGGATACTATATGTTTATCGAAGGTTGAACATCATGCCATGACTTATACTGCTTGTGAGATGTTGTCGGTTCATTCTCGACTTCTTTATATAGTAATTGATGTACCTTCTCCTATGCAGATGTATAGTGACAAGCAATCAGCTATTTTCATTACTAGTAATCTTGTCTTCTATATGCTTACCAAACACGTTAATTACTATTTTATTCGCTACCTCTTGATGCAAAAGGGGATTAGCATCTGATGATTAGTTGGGTGAACTTCAGGAACTTTTACTCCAAGCTAGACATGTTTTATGTTTATGCTCCTTGAAGGGGAGTGTTAGCACCCTTCTTTTATATTATTGGCTATAATGAGTAAGTGTAGGGTAATACTATAATTACCCTCCTTAATATATGTCCGATAACAAGGTGTAGGGCAACACATAGAATAATACATCATTTTTTTCAAAATCTCTCTTTTCCTCTCTCCTTTTTCTTCTTCCTTTTTTTCTTCGAAACCCTAATCTCTATAATTTTTAGTTTCAACTGATATCAACTGCTCCAACTAAAGATGCTTCAACGAAAGATTCAGAGATGATAAGGTACCATTAAAAGTGTCTGCAGGATGAGCTATCAATAGTCTGATACATCACATCTATTCAAAATTATTTACGTACTGTAAGACAGAAAAGGTTTTCCACAACCAAATGTGCTTGATGTCCAACAATTGAAGCTTTTCAAGTGCAGCTCACAATTTAGTAAGAAACCTAAGTACCTCAACCGAGATTACGTTTGGGGGAGGATCCAAGGGCCGATCGTTCTTATCAGTCTCAACATCACTTAGCCGTAGAAGATTATATATTGAATCCCCAGTTACCTGAGTAAGAGCAATCGAAATCAAAAGTGGCAGCAACTGGTGTATGGGTAACAAGCATATATGCACATACCTATATATAAATATTAAATCCTGATTACCTTTCCAAAAATGGTATGCTTCCGGTCAAGATGATCACAACGATCCAAGGTTATAAAGAATTGACTTCCATTTGTATGCGGTGCACCAGCACTCGCGCAAGCAACTAAGCCTCTGTGCTTAAATCTTAGACGTGAATGGAGCTCGTCAGCAAATAGACCTCCATAAATACTTTCACCACCTGCATATATTAATGCGAACTGACATTGGAAAATGAACAAATCTTAACAAAGGATCCGAATTGTATCCAGAGATGGCTATGGAAGCCAGAAAAATCAAAAAGAAAATGCAATTTTTTTTCTTTTCACCAACACGAACCAGACCTTTTATTCCATGATACCGGAAGAGGTGCTTATCAAACCATAATTCACAAGCCTAGAAAGTACTAATATACTATTTATCACAAAAATATTACAGAAGCTAATATAACATTTCGGGAACAATTTGTAGTCCACCGAAGAAAAAAAAACCGACGGAAAACCAAATTTCATACCTTCAGGTGGTGTTTATAGTTTACGGAAACAATAAGAAAACCAACCCATTGCCACATTTGATATTTGCTTAAATAATACTTATGAAAAGATAGTTGCTCAAACAACATACCCAAAAAACAATGCAATATTCCTACTCCATAATATCCAGAAAAATACGACCAGTTCCATTGAGTCCCAAATTTTTATCAGGTTGAATTTTTCTTGTAAACCTTATTTCCATGTCTTGATTGATAATCCATCTTACCCAACATTTGAACCTCATAAGATGATTTGGAAAGCCAAAATGCATCCTAAGGTGGAGGTTTTTTGCTTCGAATATAGCTCATGGAAAGCTTCATACATGTGATTTGTTGCAAAGGAGTATACCGACTTCTTATGTTTCTTCTCAATGGTGTGTAATGCATAGAAAATGCATTGAAAGTGTGGATCACCTTTTGCTTCACTACCATGCAGCTTTTGAAGCTATGGTATCAAGTTTATGGTCAGTTTAGTTTGAGTTGGGAAATCCCAAGAGGTGGTGTTTCTACACCTGAGACAAATCATAGTTAGGGTTGTTAAATGAACTGAAAATTCCAAGAGGTGATGCTTCTTCACTCGAGACAAATCATAGCTAGGGTTGTTAAATGAACCGAGTAGCTTGGGCTCGGTTCGTTTTTAGCCCAGTCGAGCTCGCTCATATTACAAAATTAACCAAATTTGAACAAATTTTTAAGTTCACTTTAAAATGTGCCTAGCCTAAGCTATTCGCAAGCCAAATCATCTCGCGATAATGCTCCATGCTTTAACCACCATGGTCCACCAATGCCACCACTCCTCCTACCACCCTCAACCCAAGCCCCATATCAAATCATGTTACAAATTATGGATTTAGAGCTTGTATCAGACAAAACTTGAGCAATAATTTAGGCTCAGTGTTTGAGCTTGAACAATCATTCAAAAACTCAAGCCAAGCCTCGAAGCTCGATAAGCTCAGCTCGATAAACATCTCTAATCCTGGTTATTTTAGGAAGCTATAGAGCATTTGTTTTGTGGGGTTGAGGGGTAATAGCAACTTTTGGGAGATGCAGATGGCAAAGAATAAAAGAATTTTCGAAAATAAATAAACATTTGTAGAGTTTTTTTAGGATAATGTAAAGTTTTTGACTTCCTTCGGGTGTTGACTTTTATAGTGTTTAGAGATATGCCTTTTTTTTGTCTCATAACCATTTTTGGTGTATTTTCTTTTCTTGTATTTCCTTCTCCTTTCATTGGGTGGATTTCTTGTACACTACATTATACTCTTTAATTCATTAAACGAAAGTTTTGTTTATTATCAAAATAAATAAAGAATCACTTACCGTATAATAAAATAAAATCAAAGATCATGGCGGTTTTTGTTAGTGGCACTTAACGCCCCCTTGTCTTGCTTGAGGCTTACATGGATTATATTTCAACTTCGATTCACAGAGAATAGACTGTTGAGTTGCTTTTAGCAGTTTGGTGGGACCGACGTCCGACTATGGCTTAGGTCGACCTTAGGGATCCCAGTGGATTCTCCACATCTAGGCCCCTACAAAGGCCTTCCCCGACAAGTAAGAGCTGTTATGGTCACTTCCGGCGAGGGATTCCAAATCTGGTCCCCCCAACTATAATCTTTTTCTCACAGAACAATAGAAAAGAACGTAAAATTGCACCCTTTGTCTATGATAGGTTTGGAATAGACTCCTAATTCTTCGAAACAAATAAAGTTGATTACAAATTGCTGCCAGAGTTTGCATGTTAGTTGTAATTTTCTTTTTCTTTTTTTTTTAAATTCCATAGTATATGAATGTGTGTGTTTGGTTGATGGGGGAAGGGGGATGCTTTTAAAGCCTAACTTGAACATTAACCATAGTTGGCTACATACCTTAGTACCTTAATAACTCAATAGGGTATCTCCTAAAGAGGCTACTCCCCAACCTAGATGTATATGAAATACTCACATGCAATTCAACAATCAAACAAACATTCATCCAAGAGCATACAACTTCAAGATTGAATGTCAAAATGTTATGCCATGTTATGAGGTGAGACTTACAAATACAATGTAACCTGAGTTTTTATCGGCTCCCATAACACATGCAATACCATGAGTATGAATGTGAATTTTTCAAGCCCTAGCCATTGATGCAATACATCCTATGATAATTCATCAAATAAACCATTTGTTTATCTTGGGTTGGTGATTTCTTGGACTTGCACCAACGGTCCACCACACCGACACAGATTTTGGTATCCCACTTCCGATTTTGCGTACACCAATACACTTTTTTTGGCTTTCACAATCGAAGATGTATAAACCACACCAAGTCTTGCACCCGAGGGAGAGTCTAGCCCTTCTTGCTATACCCAACACAAACTTTCCATACAACCCGTGCAACTTAGTCGAACCTAGGTCCAACCTTCCCGAGTCCATGCCTCAACCACCAAGAGTGGTGTTTGATCCAAAAACATACACACACCCACACCCATGTTACATGCCTACGAATGTGATGCTTCTCGTGCACATGCCATATAATGTACCATTACATTTTCATATCATTATACAACCAAGATTTCAATTGCAATTACAACATCATGTTCAACATGTCATGAGCACAATATGAACAATTTCTAAATCCTCAATCAAGGATCAAAATGTCGTGTCGACACGTCCGAAACGTCCGAAACGTTTCGAAATTTCAACACTCCGAAACGAAACAGTAGTTGAATCACAAAATTCCAGTATTTCGGTCGAAACGGTACTGTTTTGGACCGTTTCGGTCGAAACGGCATTGTTTCGAACCGTTTCGACAAAACAGTGATATATTCGGTTCATTATGAATAATTACATTTAATACCCCATTATAATTACATTTAATACCCACTGTAATTACATTTAATACTCACTATAATTATATTTAATATCCCACTATAATTACATTTAATTCCCACTGCTCTTCTGTCTTTTATAATTTTTTTGTTATAAGAATAAATAATTACACTTAATACCCTACTATAATTATATTTAATACCCATTATAATTATATTTAATACATACTGTAATTATATTTAATACCTCACTGCTGTGCAAGTTTTTTGCTTTTTTTTTTTGTTATAAGTATTAACAATTACATTTAATACCCTAATGTAATTATATTTAATACCTACTGTAATTACATTTAATACCCACTGCAATTACATTTAATTTTTAAGTATACATAAGTATCATTAATTTAATTTGATACCCTTCATTATTAGTATTATAATAAAATAGTATTATTAATTGGATTATATTACCGTAATAATATGATTTGGAGTAACTATTGTCATCATATTTATGTCACATATGGAATTTCTCTAAGTAGCTACCCAGAGCCTACACCGATGTATGAGCCTGCTCAACACTCCACAGGGGAATGGATGTAACCATGTAAGTATGTACTCATTAGCATTTCATGTGTATTATAAGACCTTAATATTATGTAAAAATGTGTTTATTTCATAAAAATTAAGTGTTTGAAACTAATTTAAGTGACTTTCGCCTCAAGTCAAGCCTTTTTTTCCCTCAAATTTAAATTTATTCTTGTATAAATTGATGTTAACCTAATAAATATGTTGAATTAATAAATTATTTAGCATATCTTTATAAATTAATGGATTGCATTTGTGTTTCTATGCGTTTCCATATTTTTTCTGCGTTTCCGAAATGTTTCCGAAACGTTTCTATTTTTGAGTTGACCGAAACGGTACTTTGAAACGAAATTTTGATCCTTGTCCTCAATATAACTTATATCATCAAGCATATAATTATATTCTAACATCATCATGTTATCAAATTGTCATTATATCAAAAAGTATATAATTACAATTCATATTCTCACCAAGCGTGTTACACATTTTCAATTAAACAAACATGCTACATCAACATAAGCATTTTATCAAGCACCCAAAGACACACAATTATGTAACACACAATCATGTCTGATTTATCACAATTCTCATGAATTTACCAAACAAGCAAATTCTACAAACTCAATTCATGCAAAATTGGTTTAGCACATTTCTATACCTATTTTTCATACTCTAGCTACACTAGGAGTACATCAAACAAGATAATTCATCTCTAATCAAACTACCCATTTCATACGCAATCGCGGGTTAGGAGAAAAACCCTACCTCTTGAAGCATAATACTAGTAGTAGAAACTCTAAGAAAACCTAACTCAAATTTTAGAATTTGATTTCTAAAAATCCTGTCCTTGAGATTTCATCAAAATCTTTAATTTTTGGTACGTAGATGTAGCTCTCGTCGAATAGATAAATTTTAGTTCTTGGCCCAAAGCAATCCAACCAAAAGTTGGCCCTAAATTACAAGAAAAAGACAAAAAAAACCCTTGATTTTCTCTCTCTCTTTTCTTTCTCTCTCTATCGAAATTCAGCAAGCAAATTGGGAAAAAAATTTGATTTTTCCCTTTTTTTATATCCCTTGGATGCTTGGCTCACAACGCACCACACGTCCCGTCTTTTTCTGATCCGATTTATCCCCCCGAATCAATCAAATCTCATCGCATTTTTGGTTCAATATATTTTATTTGAACTAACTTTAAATTATTTGTTATAATTTCGCAATCAAAATTCGATCGCGTTTATTTTAGTCACGTGACACCCAATCGCAACGTAAAATACAAAAAATATGACTATCTCATAATTCAACAAAAATTGGCTAGGTAATTAAATTTTGCGAGACAAATCTAATGGTGAGATCCATTTCGTTAGTCGAGTTTTAGAAAAATTTGGGTTTTCAACTCATATTGTATCAACTAATTACCGTTTTGTCCTTTTTTATAAAAATTCAAATTTTTTCGAATTTTACATTATTTCCCCTTTAAAATAAATTTTGTCCCTGACATTTACACACATATACACATTCAACTGCATGCATATGCAACAAGTTACAAAACACTTATGACCACAAGAATGTACCTCCATCCTCAAATAAGAACGGATAACAGGCACGTATAGTATCCTCACACTTCCATGTCGCCTCCTTCACACCACGATGTTGTCACAGCACCTTTACCAGCCTCCCGATCTGACCCCGCAAAACTTGCTCTCGACTATCCATAATACGCATCAGTCCCTCCTCGAAGATCTCATCCGCATCAACAACCAACTCGCTCTAATCCACCACATGTGTCAGATTTGGAGTGTACTTAAGGATCATGGAGACATGGAACACTGCGTGAACACATAAATTTGGCGATAATGCCAACCGATAAGCGACTGAAAAGTTATACTCATCATCAACTATGTCCCCATAACCGCTGAAAATTCTCCCAAAAATAGGCCATGAACCTGGGATCTCAATCCGATACTATAGATACGGGCATCCCATGTAGCTGAACTATCTCCCGTACATATAGCCTGCAAAATTTCTCCAGTGTGGAGGTCATCCGCACTACTAAAAAATGTGCCAACTTTGTAAACCGGTCCACAATAACCAATACTGCGTCATATCCCCACGATGTTCGTGGCAAGTAGGTCAGAAAATCTATCGTGACGTGCTTCCACTTCCTCTCAACCACCTCCAAAGGTTGAAGCAACCCTGCTAGTCTCTGGTCCTCAGCCTTGACCGACTGACACGTGAGACATCGACTAACAAAATATCCAATGTACCCCTTTATCCCACTCCAATAGTACTGACGACGAAGATCATGGTACATCTTCATGCCACCTGGATGCACAGCAAAACGGGAGCAATGAAACTCTCTAATAATCATCTCTTTCAGATACCACAACCTTTCCCCTGAACCGAAAACTACCATCTGCGTGAATGCCCCAACCCTCATCACCTGTACTCGACTGTACCTAGTCCCTAATGAACAATATTTCTGTGTCATGTCCCTAGGATTCAATCACTCTACGCAATAGGGAAGGCGTAGCCACCAAACTCCCCAAAGTGTCTTGAGCCTAACCTTTGTAATACAGCCCAAACTATCTCGCGGTCTCGAATATCTGCCATTCCCAAGAAGCTACACTAGCCAAGGCTCCCTGTAACTTCTGACTGAGTGCATCAGCTACCACATTTGCCTTATCAGGATGGTAATGCAAAGTAAAGTCATAGTCCTCCAAATACTCCTTCCACCTGTGTTGACTAGTATTTAGGTTCCGCTGAGCGAAGATGTCCTTCAGACTCTTGTGGTCTGAAAACACCTTAAACTGCTCTTCATTCAAATAATGGCACCATGCCTTCAAGGCAAAGACGACGATCGCCAACTCTATGTCATGCGTAGAGTAGTTCTGCTCGTGGCTCTTTAACTACTGAAAACCATAAGCTACCACCCTCCCGGACTGCATCAAAACACACCCAAATCCATCCTTGGAGACATCACAATATACCGTCCCCTCTCTAAAATTATTATAATAGGAGCTGAAGTAAGCCTCCTCTTCAACTCTTAGAATGCCTTCTCACATGAGTCATCCCATTAAAATTTGACCTCCTTCTGGGTCAATCTAGTCATAGGTGCAGCTAGTCGGGAGAAGTCTTTAATAAACCTCTTGTAGTATCTTGTCAATCCCAAGAAACTACGTATCTAGGAGACTGACTTTGGCTTCTCCCAACTCATAACCGCCTCAACTTTCTCTACGTCAACTAACACACCCGAAACCAGCACCACGTGTCCCACAAATTTTACTTTCGTCAGCCAAAATTCACATTTGCTGAACTTAGCGTACAACTAATGATCTCTCAAGGTCTGGAGAACAATCCTCAAATGACCCTCGTGTTCCTCCTCGGACTTAGAGTAGATCAAGATGTCATCAACAAAGACCACGACAAACTAATCTAGGTACGATTAGAACACCCTATACATGAGATCCATGAATGTCGTCGGGCATTCGTCAATCCAAAAAGCATAACTCTGTGAACTCGAAATACCCATACCGCGTCCTAAACACCGTCTTAAGGATATCTGCCTCCATAATCCTCAACTGATGGTGACCCGTGTGCAGATCTATCTTGGAGTAGACCCGTGCCCCTTTCAGTTGATCAAACAAGTCATCAATCCGCGGCAAAGAGTTCCTATTCTTGATGATAACCCAGTTGAACTGCCAGTAATCAGTACATAGCCAAAAGGTCTTATCCTTCTTCTTGACAAATAATACCGGAGCACCCCAAAGTGAGGTACTCAATCTAATAAAACCCTTATCCAATAATTCTTACAACTGGACCTTGAGTTCTTGCAGCTCTACAGGTGTCATTCTTTGCGAAGTCATAGAAATAGGGGATGCACCGGGTTATAGCTCAATGGTGAAGTTCACATCCCAATGTGGAGGTAATCCCGATAACTCGTCCGAAAAAACACCTGCATACTCACAAACTACCCGAGGTAGGCCCGTCTCTGGCCTCACCTCGTCCTCAAGTATAAGGCTCGTAAGCCAACCCAACAACTGCCCGTGCCAACGAAGACTGATTAAGAGAAGAACCCTAGGTTAGGAGAAGAACATACCTCTTGAAGCGTAATACTAGTAGTAGAAACCCTAAGAAAACCCAACTCAAGCTTTAGAATTTGATTTCCAAAAATCTTGTTCTTGAGATTTCATCAAAATCTCCGATTTTTAGTACGTAGACGTAACTTTCGTCGAATAAATGAATTTTAGTTCTTAACCCCAAACAATCCAACCAAAGGTTAGCTCTAGATCGCAAGAAGAAGATGAAGAAACCCTTAATTTTCTCTCTTCTTCCCTTTTCTCTCTATCGAAATTCAGCAAGCAAATTGGGGAAAAAATTTAATTTTTTTCCTTTTTTATAAACCTTGGATGCTTGGTCCACAACGCGCCACACGTCCTGTCTTTTCCTGGTCTGATTTTATACCAAATCAATTAAATCTCGTCCTGTTTAAAGTTCAATATATTTTATTTAAACTAACTTTAAATTATTTATTGTAATCGCGTTTGTTTCAGTCACGTGACACCTGATCACATTGTAAAACGCAAAAAATTCGACTGTCTCAAAATTCAACGAAAATTGACTGAATAACTAGATTTCGCGAGAAAAATTCAACGATGAGGTCCGTTTCATCATCCGAGTTTAAAAAAAAATCGGGTTTTCAACCCATACTGTAATGGCTAATTACCGGTTTGCCCTTTTTCATAAAAATTTAAATTTTCCCGAGTTTTACGCTTTCTGCTTCTATAATAAATTCCTTCTTTTATCTAAAACAAAATCTAAGTTGGTCAAAAAGGTCAATCCTACCAATTTCATAGAAAACATGCTTTTTTGTAAGATCCAACAAAGTAGGAAGGGAGTTAAACTTATTGTAACTTGCATGGACTTACACCAATAAATAATTGTGAGCATAATTCATTGTATGCAATATACCATGATCTAACATTGGTCAAGGTTCCTCCTTCATATATCATACAAGTTTAACTATAATGGCATCTTAGATGTAAATCCAACGAACCTCCAACACACCAGTAGTCAATCCACAAAGGCCTAATATTAGTCCAAGGGGTCAATATGACACACATGATCTCTTGATCAAACACACACTTAATCTAAGACAACAACTGCATAGATTTGTAATTTTCAGCAAAATTTGGCATATAGAGACACGAATATTGACTGCCTACTGCAAACTACATTAAAACCCAATAAAAGGAACTAATTACAGCAGAATGTGATAGTTCAATTATTTTGCTGTTCGACTTCTAGGTCAAAGAAAGGAGAATTGTAAGTAGAAAGAAATACGGAGAAAACAATTCCACAGCTTTGTCTTACTAATTTCAGAAAGAAAATTACCCATTAAGAGAAACCTAGTTTCAGTAGAATGATCTAATTTGGGGAAGATTATAGCACCTATCAATAAAGTGTAATACACTTATACATACATATATACACACACAAATCCACACCCCCTCCCCCCTCCCCCCAAAAAAAAAACTTACCGTAGGATAGAAAGCAGCTGACAACATAAGACAACTTCGAACCACAAATTCCAGCGTACCATTGGAAGATAATCAAAATAATTAGAAACCTCATTGCAACAAAATATGATTACTCAAGGCAGTTGATAGTAAATTCCGATATTCATTAAAAACAAGTGATTAAATTCCTACACTTACGGATACTGTATACATAGAGATTCGAGAATACCTTGGCCGGTACCGGTGGGATCACCACCTTGAACCATAAAATCTTTGATAATGCGATGGAAAATGGTATGATCATAGTAACCCTCGAGACAAAGCTGCACGAAGTTCCTGACGGCCTTTGGTGCCTCTTTTGGCCACAGCTCTATGTCCAACGGTCCGTGCGTCGTGTTCACTATCACTTTACCCTTCGTCGGAGGCTCCGATACGTACACTGACGACATTGATTAAATAGGTACACTGGCCGAAATTCGCAGACTCAGTTCGTTGGTCGATTTGCGAAGTGTTTGCGTTATTGGACTCGACGAACAGAAAGAAAACATTCATAGTTCCGCTATTTGCTAATGCCAAATTGTTTGGTGGAAGTGGGTTGGATGAATCAACTCAGGCCCAACCCAACCCAGGTATAGAATTTTTAACCTGTTTGAATCCGACCCGAATGTTAACCCGAACCACTCAATTCTACTATTGTCGATGGGAAATGTTATTTGAACTTAAAATTCGGACTTCATTTGCTGATTTAATGATGCAACTTTATTATAACTATTGGATCAATACTAAGTTTCAATATTTGATGGGATCTACATTCAATTTAAAAATTATAGTCAATTAAGTCAGTAAATTAAGTCAATAACATTGCTCATTGTCAATAGTTTCTCAAGTAACTGGGAGACTTTTTGAGGTATTAGAAGAATGTGCAAAACACCACATAAAATGGCCTGACACCAGCAGAATGGGGAAAATCAAATCCAAAGTCGAAGAATCATTTGGCTTGAGAGAGAGAGTATGCATTAAGCACCAAAGAAAATGATCATGCAACTAAAGGTGTGATTGTTATGCATCAATGGAGTAAATCTTGGAGCTAAATAGAAGACTAGGCAATAGAGAAAGGTTACCAAGATTTTAGAAATTAATAAATTTTGATTGGCATGATTGTTAGAAGAAATCTGATGAGTTAAGTATTACTAGAAATTAGGATCTGATGTTGATTATGAGGGTTGATTATTAGCTAATAATGCTATCTTGATTGTATTTATTAGTCTCCAAAGAAGAATGAGACCACAAAAAAAATCAATTATCTTTAAATTGCTATTTTTGAGGGCTTGCCCCTAGAAGAGGGAATTTTACTTATTTTCTTTTATTCTTGTATTCTTTTTCCTGGTCTTATCTTTTATTCTTGTATTCTTTTTCCTGGTCTTATCAGGGGTGTTAGGGCACCGTTCCTGCCCTATACCAATGATAATGGCGAAAGGAACTAGGGCAAGACGTTAAGCGTATGGAGGACAAATATCCACTTTCTAAGAAAAAAATTTTGATCACCAAACTGAGGATATAAAGCACCTTGTTGATCGCCACACCACGAACATGAAGGACCTAAACCAACTAGTTACTGCAATGAATATTCGGTATAAATAGTTACCACCCAACTTCTGCTAACTAGTGAGTCAAGGGAGTTATCCCGTGTTTCTATAACTCAACCTGAAAGACAACAAAATTCTACTTACAAAGCTATTCAAACTAAATACGCTCGTTTGGATTTTCCTCATTTCAATGGTGAAAATCCCAACGTTTATGTGTGTTGTTGCAATAAATTCTTCTAGTATAACAGTGTAGCAGAGGAGGACAAAGTCTCTGTAGCATCGATTCACCTTGAAGGACCAGCAGTTGATTGGTTTTAAGGCTATGAGACTACCAAGTCTCATGTCACATGGAAGGTTTTCACAAAGGATTTGTGTTTATGTTTCAATCTAGGGCCCTATGATAATGCAATTGTTCAATTAACGAAACTAAGGCAAATGAGTAATGTGAGGCAACACCATGAGCAGTTTGAAGCTTTGATGACAAGAACTCGTGGCTTAACGGAGGAATTCTTTGTGTAATGCTTTGTTGGTGGCCTAAGCGAGGAAATTCAAAATGGGGTTGTGACATTTTAGCCATCCACTCTTTCTCGTGCAATAGGTTTAGCCCAGTTACAAGAAGAAACTATGGATGAATTTATTTGTTTGGTTCGGGCTTCCTTGACTCCTACAACAGTTCCTAAAGGGTTTCCTAGATCACAATCAAAACATACTTTGCCACCCATCAGAAAAAGTGTCAATAGCAGAAATGGAGCAACAACATGCAAAAGGCCTGTACTATCTTTGCGATGAAAAAAATTACCAAGGCTATAGATGTAAGAAACAACAATTATACCTCTTCGAAGCTGAGGAGTTTGAAGAAGAAGAGGAACACTTTGAAGATGCCATTGTTGAACCCATTGAAGGCGTCATCCATGCACCAACCTAACCAACTGATGAACCAATAATTTTAGTCCATGCATTTGTTGGCTTAGTGTCATACCAAACAATGCGAGTGAAAGGGTTCATGAAATGAAAGCCAGTTATGATCTTGATTAACTTAGGAAGCACCCATAACTTCCTTGATCTGGATGTGGCGAAACAAACTAGATGCATTGTTCATCAATGCAAGGAACCTTGTTCAAAGCAAACATGCAATTATTACCCTTGGGCGGGTGTGACATGGTCCTAGGTGTTCAATGGCTTGCCAAACTCGGGCATATCATTTAGGACTTCCAAAATTTGAAGATGGAATTCAACTATAATGGAAAAAGGCATATGACCCATTTATTCTCCCTTAGGCGTTACTCAAACAAAATTCTTTCAGCAATATGACATAATCTGAACCTAGATTATCTGAGTTATTGGTTCAGTTTGACATGGTTTTGGTGGAACCACATAGACTACCGCCTCATAGGCCATAAGATCAAATGATTCACTCAAAATTGGTTGTTTTGCGGTCAATGTGAAACTTATTGCTACTCTTATGTTCAAAAGAACGAGATAGAAAAGATTGTGAAAGAATTACTGGAAGTTGGCACCATAAGGCCAAGTGTGAGTCCATTTCCTCTCCAATTTTTCTAGTGAAAAAGAAGGATGCCATGTGGAGGATATGTGTAGACTGTAGAGCACTAAATTGAAAAACCATCAAGGACAAATTTCTTATACTTGTCATCAATGAACTCTTAGATGAACTTCGTAGAGCACATTTTTTTCTCAAAATTGTACTTACGTACTAGTTATCATCAAATTCGAGTTCATCTCGACAATGTACACAAGACAACATTTAGAACTCATGAAGGACACTATGAATTTTTGGTTATACCCTTTATATTAACCAATGTCCCATCGACATTTCAAAGCATGATGAATGAGGTATTTCATCACTTGGACCTTGGGGATATTACTCTAAAACCAACTATATGCTAAAAGATACAAGTGCTTATTTGGTCAAAAGGAGCTTGAATACTTTGGCCACATCATTTCCAATGCTGGAGTAGCAACTGATCCTAATAAGATCGTGAGCATGGTGACGTGGCCTCAACCAAGAAGTCTCAAAGCTCTCTGCGGGTTCTTAGGGCTCACTGGCTATTATCGATGTTTTTTCAAAGACTATGGAAAGATTATCAAGCCGATCACTAACTTGTTAAGGAAGGACAAATTTCTATGGTCTCAAGAAGCATATGAAGCATTTCAAAGACTCAAGGTGTCCATGTAAACAACTCCAGTATTAGCAATGCCAGATTTTTCTAAGACCTTTATCGTTGAATGTGATGCATCTAGAATAGGCTTGGGGCAGTATTGATGTAGGAAGGAAGGGCAATAGCATTCGCAATCAAGGCTTTATCTGATCAAACCTTGGGCCTTTCTATATATGAAAAGGAGATGCTAGTTGTGATCTTTGCAATAAAAAAATGGAGACTGTATCTCATTGGTCAGCACTTTAAAATAATTACTAATCATTTCAGCTTGAAGTATTTTCTTGAGCAGCGCATAACCCCCCCAATGCAACACAAGTGGCTAACTAAATTATTGGAGTATGACTTTGAGATCTCCTAGTGGAGTGGGTGCGACAATAAGGTGGTAGATGCGCTCTTTAGGCAGTATGCATATGTTGTCCATTTAATGGCTTTGGAAGTTCAAGTGGCTCATTGGGTGGAAAGTTGATCCTGAAATTCAGAATATTAGCTAGGCAATGTAAGCTGATCCGATGTCTCGGCCTAATTTCCAGAGGCAACATGACAAGTTCCTATACAAAGCGTGACTTTGGCTTGGGCCGAGTTCAAGATTAATTCCATTAATTATTCAAGAAGCTCATGATGGGTCTTATGGGGGACATTGTGATGTTCAAAAGACCATTCATAGGATCAAAATACACTATTATTGGTGTAGTTCTCTAGATTGATGTGCGTAGACATATGGCCAAGTGAGATGTCTGCAAACATAACAAATCAGAAAATATAGTCATTCTTGGGCTTTTACAACCACTTCCAATTCTGGAGCGCCCCTGGAATGACATCTCTATGGATTTTATCGGGGTCTTCCTCGCTCAAATGGGAAGGATGTTATTTTTGTGGTGGTCGATCAGTTCAGTAAATACTCTTATTATATTGCACTTCATCATCCATATACTACCTTAGAAGTTGCTCGAGTCTTCATGGATAATGTATTCAAGTTG